TTATGATTTCCTTTATACCTTTTAATGGCTTTGGAAGTGATAGTTGAATAGGCTGTCGACAAAGGGACAAAGATTTAGTTTTCATAAAAAATATCTTAGTTGTTCCGAAGATGAGCAAAACTCTTAACTGGTTTGGAACAACATAAGGGTGAATAATTAATGACAGAATTAAAACTTTGGATGAATTAAGTCTTTAATTTACTTGGAAATCAGTAAATTCAAGTCTTAAAGGAATAGTTCACTTTTAAAATGAAAATTCTGTCATCATATACTCACCCTCAAGTTGTTTCAACCCTGTATGCATTTCTTTCCTCTGCTGAACACAATGGTAGATATTTTGAAGAATGTCAGTAACCAAACAGTTAACTGATCCCATTGACTTCCATAGTAAGAAATAAAATATACTATGGAAGTCAATGGGACCAGTTAACTGTTTGGTTACTGACATTCTTCAAAATATATTCCATTGTGTTCAGCAGAAGAAATACATTCATACAGGGTTGAAACAACTTGAGGGTGAGTAAATAATGACAGAATTTTCATTTTAAAGTGAACTATCCCTTTAATCTATCCAAAATAGTTTATTGTTTGAGTCACGAAAGTCTAAGATGATTGATCTTTTTATCCACCATACACTTGCTGTATTTATAAAATACAAATGGTATTAATTGTAATTGGTCTGGTTTTGTGTTGTCTAGGGAACCAGCACTCCAGGATTTTGAGAAAGTTGGATCTGCACAGCCTTTCCTGCTCTGTGAAACAACTATGCACTGAACTTTACTGTTAGCAACTGGACACAACTGATCCACTCATATTCTGCAACCTTTTTTCATCTGCTGAATGTTGTTGCTGTACTGTTGCTAAGTCGAAGGTACTGAATCAACTTCACTGACACAGGACTTACATTCACTGACATGTACAGGACTTGAAGTATTATGGACCATTTGATAAGCAGCTTTCATATAATTCTGATGACAGAAATGCCTATATTGTGCCTTCATTTATTTTAAAAGTTAACCTATGATGTAAAGGGGCTTGTTCGTTAATAAACTAGTTTGTTAAAGGTGTCATATAATGCCATTTTTGTACAAGCTAATATGATTCTTTAGGGTCTAAATTAAAAGTTTGTAATATACTTTAATTAAAAATTCTCATTAGTATTGTAAGAAAACACTTATTTTACCTGGTCAAAAACAGCTCTGTTTTCAGCACGCCGTTTCAGTGCATATGACTTTAAATGATCATGAGCTTTGCTCACCCCGCCTCTCTGTTCTGCGCATACACCGTTTGTAACACAATAACACAATATCCATAACGCGTTGTTCATTATAAACGTGGGATTATGAATTATATTGAGAACGTTGTACATAGAAAACATGCTGTAATGTACCCTGAGTGTAAACCGACGCATTCATCGTGAAGCGTGCAGCTGGCGATTTGCAAAGATTAATATAAATATTAATATAAAGATTAATAAAACGTTACACTCACTTTAGTTCTTCTGAAGGTTCAGCAGGAAGACGAATAGGTTCCGATCCTTTATTCAGGTGCAGCTTCTCAGCAAAACCAGCTTTACACTGATCCTCGTTTATAAAGCAGTCCACTGAGAAATGATTCGGCAAACATGAGAGCATTGACGTTGCTCGTGGGGAATATTCCCTTCGAAAACAAACTCAGCCACTGCGTCTTCAGCGGTTCGGATTTAGGAACATTAAAATGACTGCTGTGTTCCTTATTGCACCCAAGAACAGAACACATAGACAGTGCTCCAGCATATCAACAATGACCGCGCCGATCCGCGCGGACTATGATTGACAGGACGAGCGAGGGCGGGTCTGTGTTGAAACACTCCAGTCAATCAACAATCGCGGGAGGGGCATCCGTTTTATTGACGTCACAAAAACGAACGGCTCAATTTGAGGCAGGGGAAAACATATAAGGAGATTAAAACAAAAACACTGGATGGATTTTTATCATTATATGATGGTTGTGTACAGGCACTGCCAACACACATTTCAGTACAATCAACTTGTAAAAGTGCATGTACCATTATATGACCCCTTTAAAACAACTGTTTGCATTTTGCCTTAATTTTTAACTTTACAATTGTAAGACTGGAAAACTGGTTGGAGAAACTGTCTTGACCACATGGTCTATTGAAACAAAGGAACTTGCTGAAAATGAACATTCGACCTCCCCCTCACGCAGTCTCACCTGATTTACATTTCCTCTCTCTCTCAGTCAGTAACACTAAAAAACGCACACAAGTATATACATGGTTTAATGTGAATGATTATTGTGTTTAGTATCATTTTAAAGGTCTCAGGGTGGCTGGTTCAGATGTCTCATTCCAAATAAGTAAAACAAAAGGTAATAAGGTTTTTTAGAAGTTTAGAGAAACTGGCACACAAAGAAAGGTGGACAAATGGCCTTTCTCCCCTACCCCCAAAATAAGGTGTAACCTGAATGCAAATTACCATTGAAAAGAAGTTCTGGCTATTTAATGGAATGCAGCAAGGAGTCGTGGCTTTTTCTGTATTTCAGATAGTCCATGAGGTAGCTCATGTAGTTCATGTTGGGTTTGCATCTATTTCTCTAATCCTAAAACATTTGATGATTTGCATTGATTATCTTTCAATTGATTATGGAATTGTTATAATACATTTACCTGACATAATAAATTGTTATATTTGATTATTCTAACAGACTTTGACTTTATTTTCATTGGAGTTAAAAGGAATAGTCAAATAATAACGTATATTTAAAGATGCACAGATATCATTGAAAAACACTTTCATTTTATGGAGTCAGATGAAACGAATTAATACATAAGATAGAATGTATTGCATTTAATTAAAAATCCCTTTGCCATTGGAAGAGACGGAACACGCATGTGACCTTCACCTCTAATCGATACCGCCATTGGATCGAATTAGACGGACTTACACAATGAATACAGAATTCTAATATAATCCCAGACTAAGGTTACAATTTAACTTTCTGGATTGTTTTGAAATAAAGTTTTGAAAGAGTATTATATTTTGAGTGATGTGTTTATTTCAAAGTGAATTTATTCTTTTCAGATTAAATGATTTGTCATCTTATTTTACATTTCTTTAAAGTAGGTAATGCAGAACCTTAATAAGAAAAACAGTGTTTTTATTTGTAAAAAGGTGTTCTATCAACACCAGGATGGGGTCAACACCAGAACAGTGTAGAATTTTAAGTGCTCTGTAACAGTGTTGTTGTTATCTGCATTGGTGTTAATATTTTACACTCAGTGTTAACATTGTAACACTGTGTCGGTGTTGCGAGAGGCCACACTTTTGAAAGTGTTGAACTAACACTTTGTGGGTGGTTCCCATATATACACTTTTAAAGTGTTGAAATGAACTCTATTGGTGTTGATTTCCGGGTTTCAAATTTATTGTGTGATTACTTGCTGCCAATATTGTTGTAAGCAGTTTAAAGGCCTCTTCACACAAAGGATGAGCCCACACTGCAGCTATTTAACATATAACGACACAGAGGAACAATTTCATTGGAATCACTTTCAGAAATTTTGTTTTTTTCCAGCTGATGAACTATAAAATTTTTGACAGCCAATCAGAATCTACTCGACTTTAAAAAGCTTAAGCACTTAAAATGGCAGACAACATTACCACAGCACGCACTTTTGATAATAAACAGAACTTTATCGTCCGTTTGTTGTGGATGTTAGAATATTTATCATTATAGTTATTGTTCTTGGTGCGATGAACGAACTTAAAGGGTTAGTTCACCCAAAAATGACAATTCTGTCAGTAATTACTCACTCTCATGTTGTTCCAAGTTCCAACCCCGTAAGACTTTCGTCAATCAACCATAAGTTTATCAAGCCACAAGAATACTTTTTGTGTGCAAAAACAAGCAAAAATAATGACTTTATTCAACTCTTCCTTTTCTTCTGTGTGGGCCTCTGAGTGAGCCACGTAGTGTAACAGCGCAGCGCTTCTGTGTTGTACGTCACACGCATCACACACATGACCTGCGTCGGCCAATAGCGAGCCTACGTTCTGACGTACAACACAGAAGCGTAGACTACGTAAACTCACTCAGAGGCCCACAGAGAAGAAAATGAAGAGTTAAATAAGTCGTTATTTTTGCGCACAAAAAGTATTCTCGTCGCTGGATAAACTCAAGGTTGAGCCACTGTAGTCACTTGGACTATTTTAAACATTGTCTTTTCTAACTTTCTAGGCCGGCAAGTTTCGATCCCTTAGCTTCTATGGAGGAGTGAGACAGCTCTCAGATTTAATCAAAAATATCTTAATTTGTGTTCTGAAGATGAATGAAAGTCTTACGGGTTGGAACAACATGAGGGTGAGGGTGAGCAATTACTGACAGAATTTTCATTTTTGGGTGAACTAATTGTTTAAGTGATCTGATTAGGACAAGTTATTTGAAGATCTGATGTGTCACGTAACTTGTTAAACTAGCATTTCCAGACTCTAGCTTCTTAAACAGATGTGGTCAATAAAAATCAACATGTGGAAAGATATCATGTACTGTTGGTACGAGAAGAGACGGCGCCAATATGTAAAGGTTAATAAAGAATACCATGGATTTGATATGAACTTTCTGATATAAACGGTCCAACTACTTACAATCTGCAAGAGAGTTGAGGCAATGGCCAATGACAGCAGCTGGAGTAAAAGTCATAGAATTTTGTACGAGTGCACTTGCACAATATCATATGAATTTCCTGACTTGGTCAATTGTATGAACTATTACTACATCAACATGACGCTTTATTGTGGGTTCTTACTGATGGGGTAGTGTAGTATGTAAAACAAAGTTTAAGAAACATCAAATGCTGTGCAAAATGTAACTGCAGTAATATTCAATCAAGGGTTAAGACCAACACAGACATACCATTGGAAACATTTGCCTTTGCAGCTTTTTTCCTTCTCCATAAACACACAAGATGGCCGAATTCATCCCTCTCCACGAAGACAGGTTTAACAAGCCCTTGACAGCACTTCCTTTTCAGCTGAAACAAAGAGAAATATAGACATGTTGAGACAGTGTGTTAAAAATGATCCGTGACCAAATTATTTGAGAGGAATGACTTTAAGGAGAGTTAATAAAACATAAAATAAGGATACATTCATTAAAGCAAATCAACTATAACTAAATGTGTTCAACATTACCTAATTTGAAGGACCTGTTCAGCCTCCCTGGCAGCTTCTTCAAGATCAGCACTGGGAGCTTTGAGTTCAAGTTCCCTGTTAATAGCAGCTTTCTGACAGAATTGATCAAATTTTGATTTTTAAAAATATTCCATGATGAAGAAGAGAAAGAAAGAGAGCAAAAAAATGTGTAAATTAATTACAGTTAAAAAAAACTGAGAGAGAGAGAGAGAGACAAGAGACAGACAGAAAGTGAGTTTTTGCGAGAGATGGCCTCTTAAAAGAGCTGTTGGATTAAAGGTTGTTGTGGGAGATGGAGATGGAGGAGTATGTGATCTGAAGTAACTGCAAGACAGCAAAAGAATATTGAATTACAATTACATTACAAAAAGGTATTAAAGGCATGGCCAGTGTTGTGATTATTGTGGTAAAACCATGGCAAGTGTTGTGTTACTGTTTCAACTATAAACACCACAGTAAAACTATGGTTACTGTGGTAAAACCATGGTAAGTGTTGTGTTACTGTTTCAACTACAAATACCACAGTAAAACTGTGGTTACTGTGGTAAAACCATGGCAAGTGCTGTGGTTACTGTGCTTTACCTACAAATAGTAGACAGTAAAAACACAGACTGTGGTAAAATCATGGTAAATTACTGTGTTTAATTACAAATACCACATTACAACTACAGTAACTGGTAAAAAAAAAACATGTTAAGTCTTGTGTTACTGTGCTTTAACTACAATAGTACACAATACAAACACAGTTACTGTGGTAAAAGCATTGTAAGTGTGGTTACCGTGGTTACAGTTACGGTGGAAGAAGCATGGTATAACGTGCTTTTACTACACATGACATAGGATCGACAGTTACTGGTAAAACATAGTAAATGTGTGGACTTTTTGCATGATACCTTTCCCAACACAGGCAAATTTCAATGTTTGAATGTCACAATGAAAACTAACTTTATAATGCTGGCGTCCGTTTGAATGAACGTCACACAGCTTGAAATATAAATACCGATTTGAAACACGACATCATTTAATTCATAAACACGGGACTATATACGGATGGAAACCCTACCTGTACGCGTGATGAAGTCATCAAAAAGATATATTTTTATAGCAATAAACTACTTTGAATAGCTGGGAGAGTTTGACGTAAACTGGTAACGTTAGCAGGTAGATAAAAAAAAAACCATAATGCATTGAAGCGAAAGTCAAAGTTTATAATGCATTTCTCCATATCTCCAGCTGCCGGTAGGGGCGCAAATTTAGGAAACGCTCTTATGTGTCGTATTTGAAGGTAGTCACAAACGACCTAAATGGTCGTATGGGTTGGAGGACTTGTTGTTTTCTTCTAAAGTGTAGGAAACTCAGAAGCGAAGACCAGGAGACTTGGTTGTATCTTCAGCAGGATTCTTTATTGAGAACACCAGATGTTGGTAGCTGCAGTCATCAAGTCAAGTCTGACTCAAACAGTATGCATTGTAGTTAAATATACATTCCAAGGGGGAGGGATTTACATAAAGGGGGCGTGTATATGAGTCAGCTCGTTTGCAGAGATTTCCTGATCGCATCAGCATAACAGTGTCATGTATAGATGGTGATCCAATCAGCCTGATTAGATCACTCAAACCTTAACATTATCATAGAGACAAAGGCCCAGCTGTAATTTGAGAAGTGACAAAAGGTTGATGTCAGCAAGCAGGATTGCTTGACTTAATCTTCTTTAAATCTCATCATCTATGCCTCAAAATGGAAAACACTGTGTACAGCAGTGTTGTAGTCGAGACCAGCTCACTCGAGTCCGAGTCGAGACCGAGACCATAGAGCAGGGATAGTCAACTCCGGTCCTGGAGGGCCACTGTCCTGCAGAGTTTAGCTCCAACCCTAATTGAACACACCTGAACAAGGCAATCAATGTTTTCAGGATTACTAGATAGATACAGGCAGGTGAGTTTTTATCAGGGCTGAAGCTAAACTCTGCAGGTCAGTGGCCCTCCAGGACCGGAGTTGACTATCCCTGCCATAGAGGGTCGAGTCTGAGTCGAGACTGAGACCAGAGAGAGTCGAGTCCAAGTCGAGAACGAGACCAAAGAGAGTCGAGTCCGAGTCGAGACCGAGGCCAGAGAGGTTGGATAACGTAAGGTTGGGTCTGAAACCAGACCTAAAGATATCTTCAAGAATATGTAAAATATTTGGTGGTAACAATAAAATTGGCACCATACTCAAACAGTAAATCAAATATACCATGGAATCGTGTACACTGTAATGGTAAAAAGGCCACATAGTAGGTGGTGTAAAGGTAATTTTATTACAATTATGACTTACAATTATTACAATCAGTAAGTGCTCTTGTACACATAACATTACTGCACACGAATTATGTGTGGCTCTTATATGCAAACTGAATTATGGATGATAAGGCAGACATTTTCAATACATAGTTGAGCTAGAGGCTCCACATCACATCTGACCTGGGTCCTGCTGCATTTGCACGCCGCGAACATTATAGTCTCAAGTCATGTGCAGTTGCGCACAAGAAAGTCAGCAATCATTGGACGTTTTGTAAGGCTGGCTAATTTGATCCAATGCCGGCATTCAAATTAGCGGTGAAGGTCTCAACGCGCGTTCCATCTCTTCCAATGGCAGAGGGATTTATAATTAAATGCAATACTTTTTGTCTTAAATGTATTAACTCGTTTCATCTGACTCCATAGAATGAAAGTGTTTTAATGATATCTGTGCATCATTAAGTATACGTTAATGTTTGACTATTCGGTTTAACTCCAATGAAAATAAAGTCAAAGTCTGTTAGAATAATCAAATATAACAATTTATTATGTCAGGTAAATGTATTATAATAATTCCATAATCAATTGAAAGATAATCAATGCAAATCATCAAATGTTCTAGAACAAAGAGGAAAATCTTTTACCCGACATGAAATACATGAAATGCTGAGTCTCGGCGACTCAGCATTCACGGGCTATCTGAGATACAGAAAGAGCCACGATCCCTTGCTGCCTTCCATTAAATAGCCAGACCTCATTTCATATGTAAACCTGTATTCACAGTGGAAATGTACTGGTAGGTAACCATTTGCTTAGTTGTAATTTGCATTCAAACAAAAGGCCAGAAGGTGTTAACTCCGAGACAAACCCTTCTGTGTGAAGGATATTTCTATATTCTTAATAACCTTATTACCTTTTGTTTTACTTCTTTTGGAATGAGACACTCGTACCAGCCACCCTGAGACCTTTAAAATGATACTAAACACAATCCTTAATGATACTCATTCACATTAAAACCATACATATATTCGTATGTGTGTTTTAGGTGATCTGTATGAAGGGGAAGGAGTGGGGGATGAGGGGAAGACATGTAGATTAGGATGATTCAGAGGTGAGACCTTTGTCTCCGGGGAAGAGGGGGGAAGCCAAATGTTAATTTGCCAAGGTCCTTTGTCTCAATAGACCATGTGGTCAGATATTGTCTCTTCAACAAGTTTTACGGTCTTACAGTTTCAATCAAACAACAATTTAAAGAAATATTAACATACAGTAATAATCATGACATATTTTGAATGGGACTCAAGTGGACTCGGGAATAAGTCCGAGTCCTAATATGTTCGAGTACGAGTCAATTCCGAGTCAAAATGCACACGAGTCCAAGACAAGACCGAGACCATTAAAATATGGTCTCGAGACCGAGTCCGAGACCGAGTCCGAGTCTCGAGTACACAGCACTGGTGTACAGTTTAAATACTATTGTATTGGAACCTAAATTAAACATTTAATACATTTGTAACACTACAAAGGGTTCTTTTTTGTGTGCAGCTTCTCTTCAGGTGCTGCTTCAGTACCCCCTCTGTAAAATAGTTTTTTCCACAAACATAGCACACATGATTCTTCACACCGCTGTGTCTTTTCTGGTGTAATTTTAAACCGTTCACCAATGAAAATCCCTTTCCACACAAAGAACACACGTGAGGCTTCTCCTTTGAATGAACATTCATGTGCTTCTTCAGGGAACATGCCAAAAGAAATTTTTTACTGCACTGATTACAGTTAAATGGTTTTTCTCCAGAATGAGAACGCAAATGTACTCTTAATGAACTTGTGAATCTGAAACTCTTCCCACACTGATCACATGTGTACGGCTTCTCTCCAGTGTGGATTTTCATGTGTTCCTTAAGAACTCCTTTTAGTGTAAAACTCCTCCCACACTGATCACATTTGTGTGGCTTCTCTCCAGTGTGGATTTTCATGTGATACATAAGCTTTGATTTAATTATGAAACTCTTCCCGCATTGATCACATTTGTGTGGCTCCTCTCCAGTGTGGATTTTCATGTGATCTTTAAGACGTTGTTTGTATGGGAAGCTTTTTCCACACTCAGAGCAAGTGAAAATTTTGATGGCTCTTCTCAGCACAAGTTTACTTCCAGTCTGTGAGCAACTCAAAGGTTTTTCTTCAGTTTTGACACGATGTTCCTCCTCCGCTACATCCAGTTCTTCACTCTTCTTAATCTCTACCGTCAGGTCTGAAATGAAAGTTAAAAAGTAAAAATTTTCAGTAAATCATGAAATATTCTTTTAAATATTTGCTCTAATGTAGTGTAACAAATTAGCTCAAAAGAAATATTAATAATGAATCATAACTTGTTTTAATTAATAGTTGGATTAAATTAAAATTTATGACTCTGTCTCAAGTGTGGTTAGAAATGGGCCTTGCAGTTTGTTCATGCTGGCCCCGGGGCCATCAGGCAATCCTTGCTGGCGAGCCCTGAATAAAATGCTATAGTGTAATATTCTGTATCAATATTTTATTTAATGAGAAGAACAATAATAGTAGGTGGTACCACTTTAGGTGGTATACGGTAAGGAAGACCCGTGCACATGTTCTGAAAGAGTACAGAACTTTTTGATCAAAGAAACGATCGTCTCAAACGTGAAGGAGTGGAGTAGTGAGAATGTAGGTCAAAATATCACACAGACATGCAGAGGTATACGGCTGATCAAGTACTGGAGGTGTTGATGGACTCGGAGTCCGATCACTCATTATTTGATAATTCTGAATCTGATCGGGACGAAGTAGTCAGTGTAGCAGCCCGGTTGAATAAAGAAAAGTCGCTCTCTCACTGATGTTGTCTGTTTATTGTCCGTAACACCTTCACAACACCTTCACAACACCGTAAGAGCTAGAACAGATGAATTAACATTATTGGAATATGTAAATAATTCACGTTCATAAAAATTAAACAAAAACCAGTAGTCAATATAGCAAAATTACTAAATGAATACTAACATTTATCATAAACGCCTTAAATTGCTCAAAAATCAAACAATCATATATAAAACAATCATAAAGACAAGATATACAAGTGCATAAATATACATGAAGTATACCATGTACTCCTTCCCAACCAGGTGCTAAAACAACAGATGCAAAACAAATACTACTAAAATAAAAACAAACGGCGACTAGATGCCTAAATTAACTTTAAAGTTGCCTTAAAGGCACACTGTGGAACTTTTCAACCTTTATAATATATTACCAAAAACCCATTGAGATGGTACATCGACTTACAATAGGTTGAATAACACCTCTGCTGTAGCCTGAAGGTGTCTGTATCGCTTTTCCTGGCACTATGTAACTTCGGGTTTCGGGTAGGAACCCGAGCACAAAAAGAACTACAAAATTCAACCGCTTTACGGCATACGTCACTTCCCCCACCACCCACAACTTCCTCAGATTCTGACGTGAGTGCTCAACTCGCGTTTGATTGCCGTCTGTATGTTTTCGTCATGGCCGAACCAACAGCTACAAGGAAGAAGGCAAAGGTTTTGTCAGAGGACACTTAAAAAAAGAAAAAGCATAGTGACAAATGAAAAGCCAGGACGAGGATCACCATTGGTCCAGCGTTCGCTCGCTGGCGTGAGCTACAGGAGGAGGAGGGGTGCCCGACCGATGCTGACGCTTGCCTGCACGCAAATGCCGTTTCCAAGGTGACCCAGATAAATCATATAAGTAGAATCTGGTATTCCGGCCACAGCCGATGGTGTTATGAGTGCAATAAAATGCCCACAGCCCATTGTTCATTTCTACACACAAACACAGCCCGCCACAGTGCAGGGCTCGCACAAATAGTCGACTCATGTCAAATGTACATTAAATGTAGTGAACGTGCCCACGACTCAGTGCCCACAAACACTACACACAACATGTCCCACGGTTTCTGTAAAACGAAACCAACACACATAAGTTACATTCAGCTCAGGCCGACGGTGTTTTTAGTGCAGTAAATGTGCCCGCCGTCCCGTGCCCACATTCACTCACAGACATGTTAGCACTAAGCCCCACGGGGCTCGCCCCGCTCGCTCTCTCTCAGCAGACTGCTATAAGGGAATCGAGCGCGGCAAGGCTGCCCGCCTCAAACACTGCAAGCACACACAATCTAAAGACACGGGAGGCTGACCCACTGTCTATGGGCTGACCGGTTGACTGTTTGTTGACTTTTGCGACAGTGCTGCGGAGCTTGTGGCCTCTAGGGACGCTAGACGTGAAAGTTACAGGTCGAGCGCCACTAGTGGCCAAAAGTTCCGTGGTGTGCCTTTAATAATATAATTCACATCCATGAATCCGTGACCGCATGGTTCCGTGTCTCCGTCTATCAGCAATCTCTGTGTATGCGCGCTTCCTGTGCACGAGCGATCTGTTCGCATTTCCGGCAAGCCGCCTTTCAAAATCTATAGGTCTCTATAGGTTAAATAACTAAGAGTGCAAAGCAAACTTCCAAAATATAATAAACAAATATTAAGAATATAACTAATATTAAGAAATATAGAATTACGATAATATCAGAATAATATATTAATGCACAAAACTAATTAAAATAACTGAGGGTTATTTACAGTCAGTGAGAGAGATGCACATGTTGTCACAGAAAGTTCTAGTCATGGACGTGCCGAAGATAGATCGTTCACCCATCGATCTGGAAGAAGACAAAGTTCACCTGAGTGTCAAAGAGTGGACAGTGACAATTCAGACTGTGATACTTCAGACAGTGAGTGGACCCATTCAAGGCCAAAATCTCATTCATCGTTCCCTTTAAGTCGAGAACATCAGACGTAGTCGACGTCGACTGAATGGGGATCAAACCAGGGAGCTAATCGTCTTCGAGTACTATTGAACGAGCCAATGGAAATTAGATTACATCACACACTCCGCCCCCGTGGCGAGGGTTTAACGCACTAGTTGCCTTTCGCCTCGGAGCCGATCGTTCTGATGTCTCTGAAGAGTGCTGTTGTTATTCAACGAGCGAGTGTGTCGGTGTTCTTCTGTAAAGACTCTCCCGGTGCTGGTGGTTTCTACAGTGCAGTGCAGCGGTGGTCGCGAGCTTTAAGCTCTCAACTGCTGTTTTAACAGCAAGCAAATTTCTGTGTTTGTGTGTGTTGACGGCTGGTACTTCACTGTTTTCAGTTCGCTGTATTCAGTGTTGCCACGGTCATTCCCTGTGTGCTCCGGCACTGGTGACTGGTCCCATTTCTAAAAGAGCAACACGGGTGCGTTTGCGTCTTTTTCAAGATGCCATTCCATCCGTGTATTTCTGGGTGCGGTAGGGCTCTGTCCCCCTCTGTCACGAGAGTTGTATCATGTGTTTGGGCTTAAAGCACGCTGAGGCAGCTCTTGTGGATGAGTCATGTTCCCATTGCGGGAATACGACCATCTCAGTGTTAAGGTCGAGACTCGCCTTTGTTCGCGAAGGTGGATTTTCCATCCCCCGCTCTAGTGTCTCTTCTGGGTTACCTTCCCAGAAAAGGCCTGGAGTGCCATTTGGGCTGGGTGGCCTGAGGATTACAGTGAGGGGTAATCCGCCTGGCAAAGGTGGAGCTCCCCGATGAGCGTGCTGGTAACTCTGTGGTGGAGCGACCAGCCGTCTTGTTCGGGGCCCCTCCAGAGGACAGGATGTACATCCCAGCATCGGAAGGGGAGCTGGGCTCTGGAGATGACGACTCGGCTGCGCTGCCTCCCTCTGGGAGACCAGCGTTGCCCAAGCCGGATCATGATGCAGAAGCATGGGAAGCACTTCCTGATTGTCAGGTTCCTGAGGGAGCCAGGGAAAGCCCTGCAACCCTCTTTATCCTCTTAGGCCTTATCTCTGGTGCTACTGCACTGCAGAGACCGCCCCTAAACCACTGCATGTTGCTGCATATGTTGAAACTGTTTTCCTGCTCGCATGGTCTCTACTAGTGGGTACGGACTTGCTCTCTTTCGGTCAACGAGTTGTGCCTGGAATTCGGGCCGGCTACTCTCACGAGCTGAGCTGGTTCCTACCTCTACCTAGGTGGTGAGCTCCTCCTAAGTGAGGGTATTGCTCCTAGGCGTTGACACAGAGTGCCTCGCTGAACAGATGTTAAATAGAGTTGGGGGCTGGGCGATACCCATCACTGTCGCTAGAAAACTAGCCTGTGTCGAACGGCTGCTTCCCGTTGGCTCCCTTCACATGAAGCCAGTTTCACTGTAAGCCCGGTTCGTTGTGAAATAAAAGAAAGAAAGAAATAAAAGCTGTTTCACAGTGTTGGAGTCTATTTCTCCACTTAGACAGTACTTCCCCAGCCTTAGAGAACACTCTTTCACATGTTACAGAGGAGGCCGGGGTACAAAGAAACTGTAATGCCAATGTATATAGATGGGGTAGACATGTTTCTGCATTCTCCAGTATTCAAGTGGATCTTCAGCTCTTTGTATGTTTGTCTCTGGTATTTATTCACTTCTATGATCACATAAGAAGTAGCGTTTGAGCTTTGTTTGTGCTGGTCTACAGCACTGTCCAACAGAAGACAAAGGTTTCCACCTCAGAAATGTGAGGAGAAAAAAAATGATTGGGAGTGACTGTACATGTACATTGACTGAACATAAGACACACCAACGGTCAACAATTATAAAATACAACAATAAAATAAGTACAATTTTAAATAATAAATAAATATGTATTTTTTTCTTCTTCTTTTTTAGAAATGCATACATACATTGGAAGCTAAGCTCAAAATATTCCCAGATAGGGGAAGACTTCCTTTTTTTGGCTGTTGCCAAACAAACCCTTCACCAAACACCAACACCCTATCCCCACCCTAACCCCAAATAACAATAATAATACCTAAAAAAAAAAAAAAGTGCAAAGATTTTACAAAAACAAAAAGACACAACAACAATAAAAAAGATGAAGTAGTTTTGGTTATTTAAATGTAATCAGTGTTGTGCCTGAACGTGTTCAATGAACGATAGTTCATGAACTCGTTCATAGTTTGGGCGAACGTGAACTGAACGTACTGAATTACTGCCTGATGAACGTTACTGTGAACTCGTTCATTCTGGTGTCTGTGAACGCACGCTCTCTCAGTTTTAACTTCGTTCAATAGGGTGCCAGATTTCTATAGAACCTAGCAGGCGAAAACCCGGCTAAAACACACGAAAACATGCCTTAATATGTCTAAGCGATTGTGGTGTTCTGTTCTTGGGTGCAATAAGGAACACAGCAGT